ATGTTATTTCTGTGTGTCTGTGCGGGCCCCCTTCCGGCGAGCACCAGGCCGTACGATTCGGTAACGCACGATCGCCCTCGGATTCGTTCAACTGTGCTCCGTTTGCGATCTTGACCGTTTGTGAAACTGAAAAGAAGCAGTGACGACAGGACGATCAGAGGTTGTGCGGCTCGGACAGGCATCGATTGTTCGATGTGGATTTTCTGGTAGAGATTGAACCTTTGACGGTGCCTGGGTCTGTTTTTGTGGGAATGATTTTGATTAATCCTTTGCACTCGTATGTCATGACATGGAGATGATAATGTAAATTCGTTATGGCACTTGCACGTTAGAGCTGATAACACAGAGCTGAACACGTACGACACGTTGGAAATTGTTTGAGAAAGTAGCACATTTTAAGGAATTATAAGAACTGAATCTTGTTCTAATAATAATGAATAAAATAAATATAAAACGTTGAATTGAATGAGCTGAACACGTACGACACGTTGGAAATTATTTGGAAAAGTAGCACACTTTAACACTAAAACTAGCAACCAGTTAAATCGACTTTCTCAAATTCCTCTGTAAAACCTCTAAGAGTGTACCTATTGAGACTTTCATTGATTTAGAATTCAGGTTGGAATTGCTAAATTAATTTTTCAGTAACTTCTCAAATAGACACCTGTTATACTCTTAATCGTTGCAAAAAGAAGAACTCAGGAATGGGTCATTTTGACCCATCTGGTAGTTCTAGTGTTAAAAGATTATAAGAACTGAATCTTGTTGTAATAATAATAAATAAAATAAATATAAAACGTTGAATTCTACGGCTGTACATTACTTTCATTCGGCTCTCTAAAAATAAATACGAGTTTACACCCAACAACATTGAGGATGAATCGAGTGCAAAGGGTTAATATCGATTTTTGAAGGTTCCATTTTAATGGTAAAAGTATCGGGCTCGTTGACCATCTTATTTTTGATTTTAGGCTTTGCGATTGATATTATTTTTATTTCGACGAATATATTCATTTGTGGGAATTCAGATTTTGGAGAATGTCATTTGGAAAAATGAAGTTCCAGTGGAAAATTGTTTTTTTGATATATTATTAAGAAATATTTAAAAAACTGTGGTTTGGGATATTTTATTTCACACATTGAAATTTTCAAAAAATATATGAAGGTCTGTAATCTAGAAATCATAAAGGTGCTTTCGCGAGGAATACAGAAAATTGCAAGAGTAACGAATTTGGGACAATATAATGATAAATATGTCAGTGGATCT